CGAGGACGGTGTATTAACTAGTTGTTGGAAACCATAGTCTGAATAATCAAAACAACGACATATGAAATCGATGGAGTTTTTACTCGTATTTCGCCAGGAAGATGATGGAATGTTTGGATCGCGAGTTTCCAGGATTACCTCGGTACCGACGATTCGCACCCTTGTCCATAATTTCTCCTGCTCACGGATAGTCGCAGCTTGGCGTCCGAGAATTGCCCTTCTTTTTTTTCATGAGAGCAAGTAGGTCAGTTTGTATACTGCCCGTTGTACCTTTCAGGAGATTACGTGCTCCGTAAAATGCGTCTCGGTCTACCATAAGGATAAATGTGGCAATTATTGACGGTGGCGCTGCATGTTTGTTCTTCCTTTGGTATTCAAACTTAGGAAGCCTGTGTACAGTTTTAAAATACATATTGTCCACATGGTCCTCGCTAAACTGGAGGGTCTCGACAAAGAAGTTCCTAAGAACTCGTTCTGTATTTTCTTGGGGCTTTTCTGGAATACCATAGAACAGTAAATTAGTTTTGTGGTCATGAATATCCTTCAATATTACCTGCTTTTTCAATTCGGCTTTTGACTTTTTCACTCCTGCCAGTTCCTTCCGTAGCGAGATTAACTCCTCGTCGTGCTTTGACACCACGTGGTCGACGACCTCGACGTTTTTCCTTAATTCACATAACTCAGTTTTGAATGAGTCAATTGACGTCTGAAGCTCTGTCTGACAGTTTTTGATTAACGCTACTAATCTTTTCTCGGCGTTCTTGATAAGTTCTTCCGTACTTGCCGAAGCACGTGTAGATCTGGTTGATTCGGACATTTCAAAATAGTCAAAATAAAAGCAGCAGAGACAGCAACAAGTTATATATGAGTGCAGCTTACGTTGTTTAGCGTCGCTGTGTATAATTATAGCCTTTGCAGACGTGTTTCAACAGTTGGGCAACAAAATCATCCGTTGAAGTGGAAAGCGCCTCAACCACGCGTCCGACCCGTATTCATGGCTCCAATACAAAATACTTCATCATATACTTTCGACTAATGTTTTCTTGTGTAAATTAGGTTATGTTGACAGTCGAAATTGCAGTTTTTGTTCAGTTGATATCGAGACCCCAATCCATCTTTTTTGGTCCTGTAATATGGTTCAGCAAATCTGGCGTCAACTTGAAGTTTGGCTACTTCAAAAGGCTAACATCCAAATCGAAATTACAAAGAAACATGTGATGATTGGCTTTCCAGAAAAGCGCAATGACCCTCTAAATATCATCTTTTTGGTCTTAATAAAAGACCTTATATTTAAAAGTATGTTAAATAAGAGACTCCCGTCATTTCAAGTCTTTCAGAACGAAATAAGAAACTACTACAACCTTACTAAATGTGCAGCGATTATTGAGTGTGACATTGGCCTATTCTATAAATTTTGGTCAACATGCCATCATCTATTTAGATGATTATTTAGCTATGTACTGGAATGTAACATTTTATCAAATAAATGTAAAATGATTGAAAAAAGAAAAAATTATCAAAAAAAGAAAAAAAGTCTGGATAAGCGCGGCCGGTGCTGGTTTGCTTTTCGTTATTTAAAAGTACTGAATAACTAAACAGCTTTGGGATGATGTAAGACGAACCTGCTGTCATATATTAAATGAATTTCAATGTTTTTAATTAACCACATTACTGTAGTAACGAACCCGCTGCTAACTTCAGGCCCCTGTCATAATCGCGCAATGGAGATTTCTTACGATTATGGATTTGTTGTTTTTGTTTTTTATTGAGAAAGACAGCCAACTTTTTTGTCATTACATCCATGTGGCATTGCTGAACACATCATTCGATTTCAATATATTCCTGTGAGGTCGACCGCAATTAAGGTTATTAGAATGATGATACATTTCTTCTAATATCCTAACTTTCATGCAAAGAATGGGGCGCACTTCAGAATGGGGAACACTTCTGTTGGTGCCCAATCTATACTGGCTGAATCCTTCCATTCAATGGCACAGGAGAAGTTCAGGAAATTTTCGTGACACAATACGTAATACTGCATTAGAAATCAGAAAAACCTTTCTCCACCTACTGAACAAGTTTACTAATGTTGTCAGAGAATTGTTTAAATAGAAGTTGCATCCGTGGTTATAATAGGTAGAATTCATGCTATCCTGACCACCCTGGAATCAGAACCGAATATTACAGCAGTCCCGTCTGTAGCATTGTTGGGGTATTTTGTCCCGAACAGTTCTGTTTTGTCTGTTTAACATTTTAGTAAAATGCAACCAAGCTGGTGATATGTCACTTATGATATAGTTGGAACCATACAATGGACTTTGGTGTTAGCAGAGATGTCTTATGATTATGGACAGGGTTGTATCGCTTTTATGTTATTTGGGTAAAAAACGACGCAATGTTCTCGAAAGATAAGCATTTGGTGATGAATTGATCATATATTTATAACCTACTATAAGATATGTATCATCACTCACGACTGCCTCAACAATAGCGACTATCCAGACTATCTCAAAGATCTTATATCCCTGTACTCTCCAGAGCGTGCTCTCCGATCCTCTGGTGGAACTCTACTGTATCAGCCTCTGTCTACTTCGGCTATGTCTGACCGTGCCTTCTCCTTTTGCAGTCCACAGTTATGGAACTCTTTGCCTTTGAATCTGAGAAACTCTGCTTCTAAGGAAACGTTTAAGTCTCTCCCCAAAACCCACTTCTTCACTTCAGCTTTTCAATAGATCTCCTGATTGTTGGCATATGTACATAGACATTACTTTTTAACTTTGTCACAGCGCTAGTGAGCAACTATCGATGGATATTAGGCGCTTTACAAATCAATTATTATTATTATTATTATTATTATATTTATAACCAAGGTTTTCTACATTTTGTCTTACAATATCTTACGGAAAGGTTCCAACAGGACCGATACAGCAATTTATCACCCACGTGGTGGAGATACAGGTGGTAAGATACTTAATCCGGACGTCACACGTGTGTCGTTCAAGTTTGACCTCGTTTTATTCGGTTTGATTGGATAACCATGACCTCTCTCACACCGGAACTACGTTTTCATTTCTTAAAAAATCACGAGACGTCTTTGACTTGTACAACTGAAAGGCAGACCTGAAGGAATCTCATGAAAGCGAGAGACATTTGCACACTCTTTATTACACCAGGGGGCACGGGTGGCCCAGTCATCTAAGGCGCCGTGATTCGCTGTGCAGAGTTGCGTCCCTTGGGCACGCCAGAAACCAATGGTTGAGTGTTCGAATCCAGGTTCGCCCCTATTATGTTTCTAGGTTTGTCAGCACCATAACCGTGCTCGCGGGTTTCACCGAGGTGGTAAACGTCTGAGACCTGCATCACTACGAGTTTTCCTCCCACATTAAGCTGACACGCCGTGATATGACTTGATATACTGTTAAAAGCGGTGTTAAACCCAACTCACTCACTCACTTTATTACACCAGGCAAGATCGTCACACGAATCAAATTCGCTTTGCATTCCATATTTGTTATGCATAGAGCTACTACAGACATTATATAATCGAGATATATCCATATACAAAGTAAGACTACCGATAGATCCCAACCTTTTTGCGACTTTCAATTTGTTTTAAGGTTAAGCGTGTTGACTTTGGTTGGATGTTCCGGTTGTACAATCAGTGTCCCCTTTCGAAGTGTATTTTGTGACGTTGCATCCGAAGGTGGTTGTTGATGGATGAACATACACGACTGCACGACCAGGTCACTCAAAGTGAACAGTTCCGATACAAATCATCCGGAAGTGTGCCTGACTTCTGTTTTTGTGGCCCAAAACATCTCAAATGTGACCATTAACATTCGAATTCCCTATCTAGCGTAAAACGCTGTGAGTAGATCACGGTTGTCTTCGTTGGAAGCTGTCATTGACATGCAAGAAGACTTGCGTTTGTTGATGTTAATGTCTTCAGTATTGAGTCATACAGTTTACATGAATGTCTTTGACGAGCACTCTGATTTCCCTCTTCAAAATTGGTACGGACAGGATGTAAATTCAGCTGATAGATGGAGGAAACCGAACCATTTTGATTGCACAGTCGGGAACTCGGCGGTGCGCGTTACCGACTGTTTGTCCGATATTCAAAGCGATGCGCTATTTGACGTTTTAAATGTTCTTGTGGACTTCCTGAGCACAAATAACAAAGCTCTTGAATAACCATAATCAAATAAGGATCTTGACCGTCGGTGCTGTTATGTTTGCAAACACAACAGCAAGAGTACGTTGTTACTGCGTATGTATAGAAATGTCAACATACGTAGGCATATATCAATATTCATGCGCAACCAGATTTTGCAACAGGTTTCAGTGTGGACTGTTAGCGAACGAAAGTTGTTATGTATTTACACTTAAATATATATGTAATGTGGACAATAAATAAAATACCACACTCATTCTCGTTAGATACCATTTTTACGAAACTCGGAAAAACCTACGCTTTCGCTGGGTCAGATACCATAGAAAGTCAACTCGTGTCGTAAAAATGGTAGTATCTAACGAGAATGAGTCTAGTATTCTCTATTTATCTACCGATTCCAAAACTAAATACAATGCTCATTTGAATTAAAAAGCAATTTGTAAAGTGCGAAGGTATTCCTTCTAAATATTTTAATGTAATATAACCTGCCAACGATTAGGTATTAATGAAAAGGGTAAGCTTGTCCTGCCCTACCAGTGGCAAACCTGACTTCGATTCAGTTCTTACAATTTTGCCATAAGATAAGATGGTCACTTTACTGCGGAGTCATTTGGGAGCCCTTCATATGAGCATCTGCATTGTTAGTAAACTGCATTTCACTCAGTAATATTTCAGCTACATGACGGCGGTTTGTAAATAATCGAGTCTAGACCAGACAATCTAGTACATTGTAGAATATATATGGTCATCATCTTGATCTGTATTGATGTACAAAACGCCCGTGGTCCATACGTAGCAAAATAAAAGATTGATTGATTGAACTTACCTGGACGGTACCAGTTTTCGATGTTGGCTGTTAGTAGATATCTAGGGCCGAATGTTACATATTATACATACATGTCCTTTATCCAAATAATATTAATTAAATGGTATTAAATGCAATAAATTCCAAATACGTCTATCATTAAAATAGTGCAAATAGAGATGGATGATAACGGTTACATGAGCAGTTTGTAGCAATATTGCCATATCGCATTAACTTGTTGATCACATTCTTGATAAGGGTACAGACATCTATACCACGTGTCTGTTTCCATTTTTGAGAGTTTATGTAATTTCAAACAGCTAAGTGAAAACAGAAACGTGCGATGTGCCGAATGATCATTGGTAACACTGGTTACAGATGGTGTTTATGACATACATGTAGTTGTTACTGTATCTGTATATTCTGCACATACCGAGCTGTCTCACGTTGATAAGTATTGCACAGTTTAAAATTTCACATAAGGGATTACTTCAACATATAACATTTGGTTGGAGGTCAATCACTACATGTACCATTGATGTCTTCTGAACACCACAGGGGGCACGGGTGGCCCAGTCGTCTGAGGCGCCGCGATTCGCTTTGTAGATTTGCGTCCCTTGGACATGCCAGAAACCTATGATTGTGGGTTCGAATCCCGGTTCGCCCCGATTATGTTTCTAGGTTTGTCAGCACCATAACCGTGTTCGTGGGTTTCACCGCAGTTGTAAACGTCGGAGACCTGCATCACTTCGGGCTGTCCTTCCACATTAAGCTGACATGCCGTGATATAACTGGAATACTGTTAAAAGCTGCGTTAAATCCAACTCAATCACTCACTCACTTTATATCACCAGACAAGATCGTCACACGTATCAAATTCGCTCACTCACTCTGAACAATTGAAAAGTCAGGTTTGTTTTTGTTAGTTGCAGCATTACCCCTTACATGTATATCACGGGGATCTGTCCCTTGCACCTGGCAAACCACAACAGACAACCAACCACATGAATGACTTGACCGCGACGCACCAGGTGTGGAAATCAGCAAGTGTCATTACCGGATAAGATCGACATCGTATCCTATTCTTGTTGCCACATTGCCGCCTTGCAGCTGTAACAATGCTGAGTGTGGCTTGTATGGCGCTGTATGACTAAGACATTTAATAATGTTGCATTCACTTAAGAATTGAACGTCAGTTTAGATGGGTTCATTGAGGTTCAGACGAAAGTTTAACCAGCGCTTTGAAATCGTTCACATTTCAATGAACCCATCCACTGACGTTCAATTCTTATAATTTCATACTTTGTAGTTTACTGGTCTCGCCGATATAATATCGGAACAATGTTTGCTTAAATTTGAAGTCCTCTGGTTTCGCCGAAGAACATTGCAACAGTGTTATTTTGTCGGTATTTGCCGGCTCTCGGTCACACACGTTTCCCCACTCATACTCAGTTACGCAAAGATAAATAGTTCTTTGAATATATACACCATAATCTAGAAATATTTCAACATAATTTCCTACTCTGAACAAATTTACAAACAATATGTGGGATAAATCAAATTTTTTAAAATAGGTTACAGGGAGGTGAACAAAACTATAAACATGACCTCGATGCACCGAGGCGAGGTCAACCTTCAAGTGGGGATTTATATATGACGTCACATAAGTTTGTAAAGAGGTGCATTTCGAGTCGAACGGGAGCATGAGAATGAAATTTATACTGCTGTTGAAAATGAGCAGAAAATTATGGAGCAGTTATGGAAAACACCCCGACGCGTGAACCCTTTCATGGCTCTAGCAAATTGGGAATATCACCGATTTATGAACGTGTTGCTTGTGTTTGGATAATCTCAAACTAATTCGGACGATACGGAATGGACTGGTTGGGATTAAACCGAGTGCTCTGAAAAGTGTGTTTTGTGTAAATTTTCAACGTCAGGGTGCGTTATATTTGGAGTTTGGGATTTGTCGCGTGTGCTTTAATACTTTGCTTAGCTGGTGTTTCTTGTCACCTGAGATGGACCTACTGTATGACCTGATACTAGCTTCATTTCTGTGCCCCGTCACTCCTCATGTGCCGCCGCTTCTCGGCCTAGAATGCACGGAGAAGGTCGGCCAACTCAGAAACCGGAACAGTAGATTTCTAGTCTCCGAAGACCAATCGATAAAACAAGTAGGCAATTTTTTTTTTTAATTTGGGGGGTAAATTTAAGTTTCATTCCTTACCTTTTTATGTTTTAAGGTTTCTCAAAATCTTAGATTTTTTTCCCGATACGATAGTAAATCGGGTTTTAGTTTGGGATTGATCAGGAGCTGTCGCGTTTGCTCTGTGTCAGCGGACACATCTGAGCAGGGTACGACATTATTTTCATTGGTGCGAGATTCCTGTCATTTCCGAAAACAAGGCATCAAAGTCAAAATCGCTCAATTAATCAATTTCGTTCACATCAATAAATTTTACAGAAACAATTTTCTTCACTTGCGTTATTTGTATTGAAAGATAGCCATTCCATATCCAAATCACCACAAGGATAATCCATTTTGTTTCATGTAGCAGCTAGACGACATCAATCACCAGAACCAAAGCATTTGTTTATAAGTCCGCTGAAATGTTACAAGACCAGGCAAAAATACTAAATTAATTATATTGCTGATAAATGCAGGTATTGAAAAGAAAATAGAAAAACGAGTTGATCGTAAACACCGATCGAGAATTCGGGGAAACCCCGGAAAGTAGTTCCGGCAAAAGTTCACACGATCAATTTCACAAAAAAATGTTCACATCGTGTGAACTTTTTCTGTCCGTTCACAGGTGTGTGAACTCCAAATATCAGATCACGTGACTACTCCTTCAGCCAATCAGCATGAAAGAAACAGTGTAAACTTCAAAGTATGAAATTATTCACTGATAGTCAACCAATCGTTGACGATGACGATGTTGTTGTGCCAACGAACAATGATTTTTATTTTAGATAAGATATCACCGTTCACATGGCCATCATAGGATGAGTTAGGAAATCTCGAAGTGATGCAGGTTTTAGCCGTTTAGCCACACGTATTGTACAGAAAAGCCTAGAAACATATTCGGGGCAAGCCTGGACACGAACCAACAATCACACACTCACACACTCACACACACTCACAATCATTTGATATTATCTGCCAAAACCGAATCCATTTTAAAGTCAATATAGTGATTGAAATAATGTGGAACTGTCCGCCACCTGTTTACCATCAATACTGTGGCCTTGAGTGTTGTTACCTTGATCAAACAACGTATATTCTCTGAGGTATGTAAGAGAGATGATAAACTGTAACTGGCAATGATACAACCATGTTTCACAATAACCTCAAAGATTATATAGATGTGGTAGGATTTGTAACGATACCTGCAAGTATTAAGTTTTTTGTCAGTAGTGGTAAACATGCCATAGAAATTGACAATAATAAAGTTATGTTGAACAAAATCATGAATGTTGACATTACCCTTGACTTATTTTCACCAAAATCTGGACCCTCATACTAAAGGTGTATATTGTCTAGTTTGATGAAAAACGTATTTATTCTTTTTGTGTCCACTAGAAGAATCAGGTGTGACTCTGTGTGTGATCATCCTTCCAATACTTGCACATTCTTTATTTCACTTGTTAACCTGATCCAGACATGAATATCTGCAGTCTACCATGATGAAGTGGGAGTTACGCTGACTGTGGCAGCAAATAAGATATACTCACTCATTCACTGAGATAAGTATCACAGTTATCGATACAGTGATGGAGACAGATGACAAACACACAGTAGAGGAAACATTGTGTTATTGAAAGGTAATATTGTGAAGGATATATATGTCATAAACACCATCTGTTACCAATTATTCTCATGTGGCACGCCGCACATTTCTGTTTTTACTAATTTGTTTGAAACTACATACCTCAAAATACAGGAAACAGACACGTGGTACCGATGCCTGTATCCTTATCAAGCAAGTGATCAACAACATGCAGCCATTATCACCAATCTTTATTTGTCCGATTGAAAACGATCCTGATGATAGTCATATTATTTCATTTATTTCATATTATACCAGTTTGATTATAGTTATGTCGTGTGCATAGTGCTGATTAACTACACATTTGCAAAATGAATATATATTTTAAAAAAGCACCGGTGGGGCAGGACACGCTCACCTTTTTCGCGAACGCCTGGAGTGAGTGAGTGAATGAGTTGGGTTTAACGCCTCTTTTAACAGTATTCCAGTTATATCACGGCGTGTCAGCTTAATGTGGATGGAAAGCCCGAAGTGATGTAGGTCTCAGACGTTTACCACTTCGGTGGAATCCACGAGCACGGGTATGGTGTTGACCCACAATCATAGGTTTCTGGCGTGCCCAAGGGACGCAACTCTGCCCAGCGAATCCCGGCGCCTCAGACGACTGGGCCACCCGTGACCCCCGGTACTTTATAAGGTTTTGAAGTTAACACATAGACTTCGGAGTTGAATGTGTGTATGATATGTACTTTCGATGGTTTGATAAACAGCCGAGAATGTCATGCCACAAACGCAAAAGCGGTAAACAAATGAAATGGTGTTTCCCCTTGCGTTTACTATTATTGCGTCAGACCATTAACGTGGTTGGTGAAATTGTGTTTCACGTCGCATACAACATTCGTGCATTCTTAAACGTCAAACCATCGAGGTCGGGGGTGAAATGTTTTTTCACGCTGCCTCCTTGCACGCTAATAGTGTCAAACCATCAAGGTCGGGGGTGAAATGTTTATTCACGCTGCCTCCTTGCAATCTAATAGTGTCAAACCATCGAGGTCGGCGATGAAATTGTCTTTCACGCTGCCTCATTGCACTCTAATAGCGTCAAACCATCAAGGTCGGGGATGAAATTGTGTCTTGCCTGACAAAAACCCACAACACCTGTTTAAAATATTCTTTTATTTTGAATCCAGACAAAGATGTGCAATATACATACAACAAATAGTTTGTGAAACCAAATGAGTCACTGTTTATGGTTACACTTATTGCAGTGAACAGCCCCGAGAAACAAGAAAGTCATACACAACAGGATGTCCTTTACGCATTGCTATCATGGCTGCAGTTTCACCATCCTTGTTCCTGGAGTTAATGTCTGTCATGTTCTGAGATAAGATATGTTTCACCATCTCCACACGTCCACCAATAGAGGCCAGATGAAGGATGTTGTAACCCTTATCATCCACTGAGGAAATTCGACCACCTTCACTCACAAGTAGATCAAACACTTTTCTATTTCCATAATACGCGGATCTCATCAATGGTGTCCTTCCGTACTTTCCTCTGCTACGAATGTTCACAATGCCCCGTGATATGATATGCTTTAACACTTCCACTTGTCCTCTAATTGAGGCATAATGAATTATGTTGTCGCCATCATCATCCACCATTGACACATTAGCTCCCTTACTCACGAGAAACTCAAGCACGTCTCTGTGTCCATAATATGCAGCCTTCATCAGGGGTGTTTTTCCCATCTTTGCTCTACTGTTAATATCAACACTGTATTGTGAGAGTAGATATTTCACCACACCCACTTGTCCGCCAATACAGGCCCAGTGCAGGATGTTGTCGCCATCATCATCCACCAGTGACACATTAGCTCCCTCACTCACGAGAAACTTAAGTACGTCGCTCTGTCCATAATATGCAGCCTTCATCAGGGGTGTTTTTCCCTTTTTTGATCTACTGTTGATATCAATAATGTGTTGTGAGAGTAGATATTTCACCATACTCACATGTCCGCCAATACAGGCCCAGTGCAGGATGTTGTCGCCATCATCATCCACTTGTGACACATTAGCTCCCTGACTCACCAGAAACTTAAACATGTCCCTGTGCCCATAATATACAGCCTTCATCAGGGGAGTTGATCCGAACTTTCCCCTACTGTGAATATCAACACTTTGTTGTGAGAGTAGATACCTCACCATGCCCATATGTCCACCTCTGCAGGCCCAGTGCAGGATGTTGTAGCCGTCATCATCTACTTGTGACACATTAGCTCCTTTTCTAATAAGAAAGTCAAATACTCTTCTATGTCCCTTCTCTGCCGCCGCCATGAGTGGTGTCCTCCCGTGCTTCTCGTCTCTACCGTCGACGTCGACCAAACCCCGGGACAGGATGTATCTTACTCGACCAAGGTCCCCCTTCCTACAGGCATCATGAAGTGGGTTGTTCTCATGTCCGTCAATTTTATGTTGTTGAGATCTATCAGGGTAGTTCTGCTTCTCATCTGAAGATGTGTATGTCAGCAATTTGTAATGATCATTCATTGCCGTAAATAAATATCTAGCTAGAATAAAAACACATGGTTACCTTCAGTTGTATACAGACAGTGTTTCCAGATCGAGTCCAGGGAGCACATAGGAGACAATGTAAAAAAGACCAGCCGTTACCTTGTACACAGACAGTGTTTCCAGATCGAGTCCAGGAAGTACATAAGAGACAATGTAAAAAAGACCAGCCGTTACCTTGTACACAGACAGTGTTTCCAGATCGAGTCCAGGAAGTACATAAGAGAAATGTAAAAAAGACCAGCCGTTACCTTGTACACAGACAGTGTTTCCAGATCGAGTCCAGGAAGTACATAAGAGAAATGTAAAAAAGACCAGCCGTTACCTTGTACACAGACAGTGTTTCCAGATCGAGTCCAGGAAGTACATAAGAGACAATGTAAAAAAGACCAGCCGTTACCTTGTACACAGACAGTGTTTCCAGATCGAGTCCAGGAAGTACATAAGAGACAATGTAGAAAAGACCAGCCGTTACCTTGTACACAGACAGTGTTTCCAGATCGAGTCGTCAAACATCGTTGCCCGAGACTGCATGTCTTGGATGCACAGGGACCCGGTGGGAGCTTCAAACACGAGGAAAAGTACTGTAGGAGAACCCACATAAATACATTTATTCTTATGTTTACCTCTTGTATCATTACATTTCATATATAATGATGTTCTTGTTCAATGACCATTATTTGTCAAAACCTCTGGCGTAAGTACAAATATCTTTTCCATAATACACATAATTTATTTGGAGATGAGATGACTAGCCACAAATTGGCCTTCCCTCATTGCTGATCTATTTCGTCATGGATACAAGTCGGATCTTCTGCTCGGATTTGCTACATGAATATCCCCAAAGTCAACTGTCCCTTTCAGTCGAGCAATATTTTAGCAGCTCCACCCTTTAGCCCTTTAGTGTCTGCCTTTGAGGTACTAAGGGGAGCACGGGTGGCCCAGTCGTCTAAGGCGCCGCGATTCGCTGTGCAGAGTTGCGTCCCTTGAGCACGCCAGGAACCTATGATTGTGGGTTCGGATACCGGTTCGCCCCGATTATGTTTCTAGGTTTGTCAGCACCATATCCGTACTCGTGGGTTTCACCGAAGTGGTAAACGTCTGAGACCTGCACCACCTCGGGCTTTCCTCCAACATTAAGCTGACACGCCGTGATATAACTGTAATACTGTTAAAAGCGGCGTTAAACCAAACTCACTCACTTTGAGGTACTATCAATAGTAAAGCGTGTCATATGATGTTTTCTCACAAGTTGTTTAAATGGTTTTGTGGTTGACCTGTGAAGGATATTTCCAAAATCGACATGTCACTGACCAAACTGACGTCCCTATTTTGAGTTTATCTTCCCCGATAGTTTTCAGGTGAACAATTAACTTTGCCTTTGCACCTTATCGCTAACACCTGGTGTCATAACTATTTGATTGTGATTCATAAACAGACAGACAGGTTTATTCAGTAATTTAGGCATCAAGGCCTATAGTACGCTTATGACATAGTCGGAATCGAACAAAGCACTCTGTTTTTAGTAGAGATTTCTCATGATTATGGAAATGTTTTTTACTCACATCTGAATAAATCTTTGAAAAACACGCATCTCCTTCCTTCGCGGTCTTCTTTGATTCATCTTTTGATAAACGACAAGTTAAAGTTTCAATATCATATTCAAAACTCCCACAGAGGCCATGTTCAATACATTTTAACTGACACAGCTTGATGCCAACATTCCTTATAGTAACAATAGTCTTAGGTCCACACTGCTTCAGGCTTGATGTTGAAAATACAAACATCAGAATAACTGTTACTTCCAGGAGTAGTTCCACACAGTCCCTTAAATATCTTGGTATCATCTTTCAAAGATAGCAAAGGATCACCTGCTGTGGTGGGAACGTTATGGAACAACTACCACGAGGTTGAAGGGTTGAAGTTCAGGTAGACTGTTAACACAATACTATAGTCACCATGTTATAACAAGGTGGACGGTGAACACAAGACTATAGTCACCAATGTTATAACAAGGTGGACGGTGAACACAAGACCCCAAATACTAAAAGCGACGATGTCTTTTAGTGCACAGCGAACACGCCGACTATCTGCGTTCTTCACTATCCGGTCAGTAGAGTCGATGTTTTTGCTTCTGACTTTTAACACTCACAGGACATCACGTGACATTAAACGTGACTGGTTTGCCCAATCACAAGAGATGGAAACAAGGGCATAAATCATTCAACTATTTCTGACACTGGCCATTTGTCTCATTCTTTAAGGTCTTGGCTCCTTTGATTCTAATGTCAAAGTGCTACAGGACCGATTGTAACTTTCATTTGTTTGTTTGTAGTGTAACGCCGCACTAAGCATACTCCAGCTGTATGAATGCGTTCTGGTAATGATCGGGTCTGGACCAGACAATCCAGTGACTGACTTCATCAGCATCACTCTGCGTAAGCAATTGGGACACGATGAAATTTATCCGCAAAGTCACCGAGCCTGACCACCTGATGTCGTGTGTGGCCTCTTACGACAAGCATTGGTTGCAGAAGATCAAATTTAACCTGGATTGTCATGGGTACCACACCTTAGACTATTGAGCTACCTACAGCATAGGCCACTGAGTTACAGTTAAGTCTCGTTAATCCGACACTCGTTAATCCGACAATCGGCTTTATCCGACACAAATGATGGGAACCGATTTAATCAGTGTTATTTAGACCCGTTAATCCGACAGTCTCGCACTCCGACTCCGACACGCCTAATTTGCAACGAATTACCGAAATCACTCATTAATCAGTCTCGTTAATCCGACACGGTGATCAGCGTACTCCGTGGTCATCTGCCCGCGTAGTACACAGCCCCGTGTTTTGATGCGAGACGAGTCGACGAGTAGCTACATATTTCAGCGGCTGCAGAGATAAACTAGCTTAACAATAAACAATTATTTAAATATACATAACAAAATATACAAAATACCCGCACCTAAGACCACGGAGATATACGAATCCTAGATCACTGAACTACCCACACCTCACTGATCTTTTTTGGGTAGTTCAAGCTCGCGGCATGGATGGCCCAGTCGTCTAAGGCGCCGCAATCAGCTGTGCAGAGTTGCGTCCCTTAGGCACGCCAGAAACCTATGGTTGGTTCGAATCCCGGTTCGCCCCGATTATGTTATTAGGTTTGTCAGCACCATACCCGTGCTCGTGGGTTTCACCGAAGTGGTAAACGTCTGGCAGCTGATACGCCGTGATATAACTGGAATACTGTTAAAAGCGGCTCACTCTAGTATTTTTTTCAGTTGGTGAATATAAACTGCCGAGCAAAATACAGTATATAAGTTGAAAACTGGATTTGACCAACAGATGACAAACGTTATCAAGCGTTAATTGGCTGAAAACAGTCGATGACGCACTGCAACATAAGGTCCAAAACATAACTGTTTTATCCGTTCCAAATACATCGCCATGGAATAACCATTTCCTATTTGTTTTATTTTTAACCACCATGAAACATGGGCATACGTGCATACTTCTTTTGCCCGACACTCATGAATATATATTTAAAGGTGAAGATCCTCCAATTTGTATCCCTGTGATGAAAGAATCACAGTCAATGTCCTGCTTGACTGTATTGATTTTTACATCACGAGGGTTAAGTATGTCAATGTTTCATCCATCAAGGATCTTGTTAACATAAATTCTCATTTAATTCTTGGGTTTTCAAAGGAAATTGAATTGATCGATAAATTTTGATTGATATTGTTTTGTTTATAATCAGGAACTTTTTTTAATAATTGGTAGATTATATTGAATAACTAAGATTGTTAGTGGTTGTGTCCTTGAAGGGGGTTGAAGTAGTGTAAAATTATTGTCCCCTTGAGAGGGTATGTAAGACTACGTCTTTCAAAGTATATTTATTTCTGCCACATTTTCACATTTTTAATCTTAGAATATGTGTTTGTTTTAATGTTTGGCTAAATTTGTCAATCATCGCTAAAAACTGAAGGGGTGGTCTAAATCCTGCTGGGGGCCATGCAAGTAGCAAAAGTAGTGTAAGTCTCCACGGTCCAAAGTGTGGTGATCTACCTTCAATTTGTTGGCGATCTATGCCCGTATGTATATTGTGTTGATTTATTTTGAAATGCTCTCAAACTAGTTTTGCTTAAATCTGAGATATATTAGTTATCATACTGTCCTTCAACGACTAAATTTTATATTGTTTAAATATATTTTATTAATGTCAAGTTGTGTCTATGCACGATAAAGCTGAAATATTGGCGATGTGACGTTAAACTTTAACTTACTCACTCACTCTTTTGCCCGACAATATACTTTTCTCTCGAGCTCGTTCAACCTGTAGTCATGTTTTACATTTGCTCCTTTTGAAATTTGACAGTTAAGGTTATTTTTGTTAAGTGTAGCAATATCAGTAGATCAACAGCTTCCGGAGAAATGCATTCAATATGTATAGAACTGTGTGTCGTGTGGTGTATTTGTCATGTCAATCAGAAGATAAGTGACAGTGTCCAGAACTCACAGAAGTAAATCTGCTCTATTTTGGAAAATACCTTGGTAAGAAATAACCAATTCCTTGTCCTGGTTTGATGTATATGTTGACGTAGATGTGAATATTTGACATGTTTTCGCTATTTGCTATCTAAATTTTCAATCTGCGATGTCGTCAAGGAAATTCTTTGATCTAATCTAATTTTTTTGCTCAATGACTTATAGCAGAGTGACAACTTGGCTTTGATAAACAGCCCGAGGATGTAAATTTCTATTGTTGTACATACACCTTACGAGCATCAATGAGCAGCATCTACTTCACAATAGTTTCCATGGATTGTTTCAAAACTAAGGAGTTTAGAATATAAATAAAAAACACAAAAGGACCTTTCCATAGTCATAGAAATCTCTACTAAATCCAGTGTCCACTGAACAACTGCGAAAAGAGCATCGTCAGCATTAAGAGGACATGTCTAACACCTG